TTTTTTTTCTTGCCATAACTTCAGATTAAATCATACACAGTTGGTCTCTAATTTCTAACTGAGGGACTTTTGAAGCACCGTATCTGTATCTCTTTAGGGGCGTTGGGGAAAGCAGAGCCCACTATAACAGCGTGTCTCACATTTCACCTTTCTTTTTTGGGAAAAGAAAATGTGTGTTTTCCTTTGCTGTCATCTTTGTTGCCGTAGGCAGATTTTCTGGAGGACAACATGGGATCCACCAACATGAAGGGATTTTTAATGTCGTTGCAGAAGAATGCAAAACTCCACCATGCCATCCTAGTAGAGCAAGTAAGACTTGGATTACAATTTTAAACCCTTTTATGTCGGGATTTAGATACATTTTTTCCACATTAACCTAAAATTTTCTCCGTTTTTACAGCATTTCTGCTCTGATCTCCGAGGCAAAGAAGCTTCACAGTTCTTCACCCAAATGCTAACAGGCAGCGTAGTTCAGTACGGAAAGAAGTAAGCCATGCTTATCTCCTTACTAAACATCCTCGTTTGTTTAATACACTCGTTCCAAACCACGACCCTGCGCGTTGCAGGACGTACCACCAGTGCCGAGGGATTCCTCAGGGATCGGTCGTGTCCTGTCTGCTCTGTTGTTTGTGTTACGGCCACATGGAGAACGTTCTATTCAAAGACATCAGTAAAAACAAAGGGTAGGGCAGAAACCTCCTGTTGTGCTCCATCTTCTCCAGAAGGGGGCAGTGTTTCTGGATCTCACTTGTCTCTTTGGTTCTCAGGTGTTTGATGAGATTAGTGGACGACTTCCTCCTTATTACTCCAGACCAACATCAAGCACAAACCTTTCTGAAGTATGGCTCATTTTAATGAAATATTTTTAAACTATCTGTTTTTAGATAAAACACTCATATGTACTTAAATGAGTCTGAACTTGAACACTGTGTGCAGGACCTTGCTGGCTGGAGTACCACAGTATGGTCTAATGGTCAACCCACAGAAGGTGGCAGTCAACTTCCAGCTACTGGGAAGCGTGGGCTCCTGTACGGATATTCGCATGTTGCCTCCTCACTGTCTCTTCCCGTGGTGTGGGCTGCTGCTGGACACCCAGTCTCTGGACGTCTATAAAGACTATTCAAGGTTAAACCTGTCGTCAGCTCAGTCATTGCCTGCAGTCTGTTTGGTTCAAGTTATTGCGCTTTTTGCCTTTCCTTTATGGTTTCTTGTAAACTGTGCCACCTTTTCCTCCATGCACTTTGCACCAACTCGTAAATGACTCCCACGCTGGAATGGAGGATATTTTTCCTGGCATACAGTGCTTTGCAAAGGTTTTTTTTTTTTTTTTCAGATAACAATGAAATGCTGAACTTGTGATGTGAGCACTGAGTTTTGTAGCAGGGTTTTTGCAGGTTTCACCAACTCAAATGTAAAACTTTTTAAGGTTGCTTTAAGGCTGTTATTAATGAAATTCAAGATCCGCGTCACGACCGAAATGTCCAAAGAAAATCACAAATAAATAAGTTGAATGGCTTGAACATTGTTTAGTCAGCTGGCAATAAAACTCCACTTACCCATGATGGATGTAACAAAAAACATCCATCAGCTAGAGGTAAGTAAAAATGTTAGCTGCATAGCCTTTTAATGTGCATCGTGGGTAAGTGTAAATTTAGAAAGCTAGCTAGCAAGGGTATATTAACAGATAGCCAAATTTGCACTTACCCGTGATGGTCATAAGAAAAGTAGCCAGCTAACTCGATAGCATAGCTAGCTCTTTTACATCTGCAAGGAAAAAAAAAAGCTTCATAGTATATATGCTTCCATAACAAAGTTTAAGACCTGTGATTAAACTAAACAAGGCCAACTTAGTTTTTTTATTCAGTACATTTAAGGTATTTGAAAGCCTACGTTTTAGAAATATGGATTTATGACTTCTTAAGGATGTGTGGACTTAAGGATGTAAGGCACACAAAAGTTTGTGGCTGCATTACGTTTTAACTCCAAGTTTTCTTTTGAGATTTTTTCCTTTTTTATATTTTAGTTATATATATTTTTATCTCTTACAGCTATGCCGGCCTCTCTCTACGATACTCCCTCTCTCTGGGGTCTTTCCATTCAGCTGGACACCAGATGAAGAGGAAGCTGATGGCCATCCTGAGGCTCAAATGTCATCCCCTCTTCTTGGACTTGAAGGTTGGAGATTGAAGCACCTCTTTAAGTGTTAAATCTCAACATAGTTTTCTACTCTGATTGATGCTAGAAAAATGCACAGTCAGTAAAAAGCTTGGATTTTTTTTTTATTTTTTTTTTTTGTTACAGCTAGTTGCAACTTTAACAATCAAACCAGGCTGGATAGATGCGTGGAAATCTGTATTAATTTCCTTGATTTTGGGAGATCGGCGATTAGCTGATGCTTAAGAAACCAATCTGATACACCATTTTTATCTAACTCTCCCACTGAATGCAAGTTTTGACCGATCTCCCAAAATTCGCCCGCTACACAATGCCTCATAGGTAACACACCTGTAGACCTTATCTAAGTCCACTACACACCAGTGAAATGAACGGCCAAACTCTGACCAGATCCATCCCACAGTTTCACATCTAAGGCGAAAGCCGCTGTTCTCCTCTTTAGACCACGGTCCCACAATCAGTCGAAGCTCCTCCACACCCACCATATCGAAGTATGGCGAGGAGTGAGATTGTACAGAGCGTTGGGCTGGTTTTACTGTAACCAGGCCAACATAAATGCTACATGTTGGCCAGTAACCATCATGAATTTAAACCAACAGGTTTGACTCTCGGCACATTGTTGAGAACAAGACTTGCAGTACTGCACGAAGCAGGAAATGTACAACGTACAACAGAAATACTCTCAGATGTCAATTTATTTCTCTCTTTTTGCGTTCATGCTTCAAAACAATCATGTCATTTTAGACCAACTCCCTTGAAGCGGTCTACAGGAACATCTACAAGCTGGTGGTGCTGCATGCCTGCAGGTGAAAACAACTGAGTTGCGACTCTCTTTCTGCATTCCTTGGGTTTTTGTTTAGATTTCTTCCGCTACCTCCTGCCTGCATTGTCAGGATTTCTGCATGTTAAGCACGTCAGGAAGGAGACGCATGACTCGCAAGCCTTCCCATGTAAACTCACCAACCTTGACCTAGGAGCCTCATTAAGATAATACCGATACCAAACTAAACTGATGTTACTCAATGTCTGCTCTGACCTGGAACTTAATTGTTCAGCCCGTCAGTCCCTGAACGTACTTATCTATAGGTAATGTTAGTTTTATTTTTTTTTTCCAGGTTTCATGTGTGTGCACAGAGTTTGCCCTTTGGTCAAACAGTTGCTAAGAATCCACTTTACTTCCTGCAGATGATCTGGGACATGGCTCAGTACGCCAATAAGCTCCTCAGGTCCAGCAACAAGGGTAACATTTCCACAAAAACCTAAGAAAAGTGTCATATTTAGATCTTCTCTGCATAGTTTCATGTTTTTCTTTTCTTCAGGACTAATTTTAGGCTGTAAAGCCCAGACGGGCACCGTGCAGTACGAGGCGGTGGAGCTGCTTTTCTGTCTCAGCTTCCTGCTGGTGCTCTCCCAACACCGTCAGCTCTACAGGGACCTGCTGACGCATCTACACAAACGTTTGTATCCACAGAGAATAATTTTCAACAAAATTGTCATAGTTGATGTTTTAGCATCAACTAGAGTTTAGTTCAGGCTTAAAAAAGTCCAACACGACCCGTCTACAGGCCCGAACACGAAACGAACCCAACACGTTATTTTGATAAAAATGTTACTGCTTTTATTTTTAGAGCATCATTTAGGTAAGCAGTGCAACGTCTCCAGCTTTTAGCTTTTGCATAATGTCACCCTGCTCCATTCTGTTGAGTCAAGTGCAAATCATCTGGGATGTGTCATTGATAGGAGCAGGGTGTGGCTGCATGCACTTATTACAGTATAATGAACTTCTGCACCTTGTTTTCTTCCTTTCCTCAACATGGTAAACGACCGAATCACCTTTTTAAACTATAAGTAGATAAACTCTTTATTGGACATTGGCTTATTAAACTTAGAAGACCTAGTCCAACTCGAACATTAAACAAATGGTTTTGGCCTGACCCGGCCAAAATATCGGGTCAAGTTCAGGTCGTGATGATATCAATAACAGTATAAAAATGTGGTTTGTTTTTTGTCATTTTATATATTTTAATCTTAATTTGGGTTGAAGCGATTAATCAGATTTCTCAGTCGATTGAAATAATCAACTAATCATCATAACTGATCATAGTAATCAATTAATCGTTGACTGGATACAGACTTAAAAAA